GGCTGTCCTGAGCAGCCACAGGCAGCCCCACACAGGCTGCAAGTGGCTGCAGCAAGGGGCGCCGGCCATGGGACACATGAGGGACTGCTTTTCCCCTCACTCAGCACCAGCTTGTAACCTGCCCCCTCTGACAGACTGGGCCCCACACTGGCTCCGGGCTCTCCCATTGGGGCTGCGCCGCAGCCACAGCAGCTGCTCAGCACGGAGAAAAGCGGCCCCCTCATTTGCCATGCCAGGCAGTGTTTGCTGCTGCTGCCTGCCTGGTGCTCATGTGCTAGGCACCACAGAGACTGCAGTAACAAACACTGCCCAGAGCAGCAAATGGCAAGGCTACTTTCTTCCACACTAAGCAGCTGCTGCCACCGCGGCGCAGCCCCAACAGGTGAGCCCGGAGCTGGCGCAGGGCCCAGGCTGGCAGCAAGGGCGAGTTACAAGCTGGTGCCAAGCGCGGGGAAAACCGGCCCCTCCCCCACACCCGTGGCCAGTACCATGAATGGGGCTGCCTGTGTTTGCTCTGGACAGCCCCATACGGGCTGAGAGCAGTTGCAGCAGGGAGCGCCAGCCACAGGGCGGGGAGGGGCCGCTCAGCACTAGCTGCTTACCTGCTGGCAAGCAGGGGGACGGGGCTGCACACTGCACCCCCTCCCTCCGTCTGTACCGCAGGGTTGGGGGGGCACCGGGAGTGAGCAGGTGTGAAAGTCAGTGGGAGCATGGGGCCCACACCAGTGTCCCGGGGCCAGCGTCAGTGGGGCCCAGAGCAAGGCGGCAGGAGTACAGGGTCCCGGCCGGCTGGGGCTCTATGGAGCCGGGCCAGCTCCCCACTCTCCCGGCTGGTGCAGACCAGCCCGGCTCCACAGACCCCTGCCAGCCTGTGCCCCGCTTTGGGCCCCACTGGTGCTGGCCCTGAGACATTCATCTCAAGACATTAGGACATTGCTTCCAAGATGGTGACAAGGGGGCGGGGCACCTGTCAAGGTGCAGGGCTACCCACAAGGCCCACAACACCTTGCCAAAACTGGGTAAGCGGCCCTCCGCCCGAAATAATTGCCCACCCCTGCTCTGAACTAATAGAGAAAGGCCATTGTTTTGCTGATGGGGAGATAAACACTTTTATCAGCCTCCTGCTGGCTTGCTTGCCTGTCAGTTTAAAGAAGCAGGGTGAGGGAGATTGAAAAGCTCCATATCATCAACAGATGCATGCACTGCACACACCATCTTTGCCTCAGAGTGCTAGCAGGGGGCTCAGGTCTGGTGACACTCCTGCCCCTACGCTGCAAAGACTGAATCCATTTCTGGGTTTTTGAATGTCTGTCCCCAGCCTAAAGGAGAAAAACCATGGCAAACCATGGCTTTTCCCTTGCAGGCTAGCAGAGTTCCAGCCTGCAAAGGGCTGCTTGAGGCCCCCACTGATCCACCCCCTGCCCCACACAGTGGGTGGCAGCAGCTAAGGAGTAAAGGGGCACTGGGTCAGGACTAGACTTCGATGTTTGCAAATGGATCCTTGTACAAAAAAGGTTGAGAACTACTGAATTAGATCACCAACAGCATGAAGTGAACACTATTATGATGCTACCATTTCATGATATGCCCTGTACAGTGCATCATGATATGTTCAATGGCTCTACTACTGCCTGGCAAAGTAAGTTTATGGTATAGACATGCACTTAGTGTCTATGGGCTTATAAGCAAGGAAATAAAAAGTTCCCACTTCTGGAAAGGAAGATATATTAATCATGGTCTCATTTAGACTACCTGTACACAGCAAACTTAATCCAGGAAACAGCGTGCTCAAATGCACCATGTCTCCCAAACCAGAAGCAGTACAGCTGGGTTCATTGGACACTGCAGACAGGCCAATTATCACTGTGCAAGAGTACCACGGTTGAAAGTTTTGCAGCTTAGTCTGGCAAGTTTGCAATGTAAAAATACTTAAAGCAGTAGTTCCTAAACCTCTTGAACCAACAGTCTGCTGTCACCACACAAACCCCATGGACTACCAACAGCCCTTTTCATCAAAAAATAAATAGGATCAACATATAGGTGTCTTGATGCAATCAATAGACACTTACCATAGCCTCACCATCAGTGAATGGTCAAGTTTTGTTTCTTTTGTAACTTCAATGCCCCTCCCCAGTAGTAACATTAAAATTAATAAATAAATATTTACTGAGAACAACAGTGGCAGACAAATTAAAGCCCCCCCCCAAGAAAGTAACTTCCTATAGTCAAGATCTGTTTTGCAGCAACATATGGAGTTCCTAACACAATGCTGGGGAGCAGGCTTAATATGATTCAGGAGGAAATGTGTGATAATAATGCATAATAGTTCTCTGCAGCATATAAGTGTTTCTTAGACATCTTTCATTTTAGTTCTGGCCATACAAGACCTGACAAGAACATAGCATAATACAGCAAGGACAAGATTGCTTAGCACCAAAAGAATAAGTAACCTTTGGCTTTAGCAGGGCAGTGCGGTAGGAGAAACGCACCAAAACCACTGTTTTACTCCCAACTTTGCTGGCAGCCCGTGGACTGTCATGTAAAGCTATATCATCACAGTTGAGCGTTCTACCGCTAACATTCAGTCACAAAGCATAAGAGAGTTTAAGGTGTGCTGTCAATGCAAGAGAATGATCTGCTTGCTGATTGGAGCCAAAGGAAAAAAACGTTTGAAAGCAGGTTTACACTTGGAAAAATACAAGTAATTATTTCAGTACTATTAATTTTGATATTAGCCCATGCAGACACACTTATTCTGAAAAATGGTACTACTTTCCAAAGACAGTCATTTCCAAGAGTAGGCAAGCCTTAAGAGAAATGCAAATTGATGTAACAAGATAGCAACATCTTACATAGAAGTGATTTATGTTTACGCAGCTGAAACACAACACAAATTTAAAAATGTACAATGCAGACCAGACATTTGAAAAAAAATGAGTATAGCTAGATCTAACAATGGAAATCTTAGGAAACAGGTAAAAGCAAGCAAGGAGAGTGTTCAGAACTTTGACTTTTTATTCAAAGGAGAGCCAGATTTTTATTTTTAAGCAAGCTCCCTCAAAGTTGCCAGACGGTGGGGTTTATTTATAATGAAGCTGTATTCACTATCTAAGGAGAATACTTGAAATTAGATTACGGTGGGTGAATGTGCAAAACGTAAAACTCAGAAACCTCTGACCACTTTAACTTCTACATGTCTTTTGACTAGTAAGAGCAATACCATCTTTTTGAACTAAGTGGAACCTTAAAGTAGGGTCAATTACTTTCAGACAAATACAAGCTTACAACTCATTTCAAATGTACAATATCCAAAGCTCAGAATACCATCCTCAGAAGGATAAGGGATTTCAAGAATTAACACTGGAAAAATAGTTAAATGCATCTCAAACACACCTATGCCTATAATGTTTTCCTTGACAAAGAGCCCTAACAGCAGTCCTACAATTTTAGGAAACTGCATTGCCATACTGACTAGAGCTGCCTGAGTTCATCTAATTTTGGAAATTAAGCAGTCATGCCTAATTAGTACTTGGATGGGAAACCACTTCTTGGCTTCTTGTAAATTTAGGTTTTCTTTGTTTCCTTTCAAATAGGAAAGGATATGGATGAACCTGCATCAATTTACACTGTTAACTTAAATCACTTAATGGAAACCACACTTTCAAGAGTTCAAGCACCGGGGATCAATAGCTGCATGCTGCTGAGAAAGGAAGACTCATGAGCGCCTTGCATTCAGAAGCTTCTCTAACTTTATACCAACCATGCAGTTGGTCCAATATATCAGCTATTAAAATCTTTGCCTAAAGACTCACCTGACATCGAAATCCCCTAACAAAAAGGGGAAAGGCGGCTACAATTGGGCTCCAAAATTTAGGGTGTCAGCAAAAAAGAAGTTTTACTAAACTTTGACATATTTATAAGTTAAAAAAAACCCCAAAAATGTGAAGAGGCTCCTGCTCCTATGATCTTTCAGCTCTACAGAAGTGTTAATTGTGTGGCAGTCTCCATGTATAGATTTTCAACTTCAATATACCCCAACTACTATCCCCCAAAACAGCTAGAGAAAAGTAAATTGAGCCTTTACAAAACAGAATACAAGAAGAAAAAATGGCAGAGGCACACATCATGACAGACCTGCAGCACAGGGTTGCATTTAAAAGTTTTGAGGTTGTGTTGACCTGGACTAGGCATAGCTCCAGCCCCACCCCACTCCCTCTGATGGTCCCCTGACAGGCTACCTGTTAGCCAAAGACACCTCGACAGGCTACCTGCTAGCCACCGCCCCT